ATTACCAAACCTCCCAAAAAGTTAAGATAATCAATAATATAAGTAATATAAATAGGACTACTACTCGTTAGCATATTAAACCCAACATTATTCTAGTGCTTAAAGGAAATGGATTAAGTCTACTAATAATGAGGTTCAAGATTGTTCCTTAGTCTTCATCAAAAATTGCTTCGTAATGTTCCATTACTAGCTAGGGAGGGAGGGAAAACTTTGCTTTGGTTGGCCAGCAAAAAACTTGAGTGAAGGCTCATTGGTGCTTCGCATGAAATTCATTGTTTAAAAGCTTAAGAGGAGGTTGATGGAAGATAGATGCCAACTTATCACCACCCCAAAATGGACCTGTCGTGGCTTTAACCCCTTTTGTTTGTGGCAGGAGAATGAGAGTTATCGTGGCCTCAATCAACGACTCAAAGTGATTACCTAGCTCCAGATTATGTTCTCATTCCCCCCAAGTGATCACCATTCTTCCGATAATAATAAGAATGTTTTTAATTTTAATCTTTCTTTTCCTGTTTATTTTATAATTATTCCATTAAGGGTATTTTAGATTTTACTTAAATATAATTTTTATCTCTAAAGATATTAAAAACAATTTTTTTTTCACATCAATATTTAAAACTTTAATTTAAGAATGCTCTCGCAAAAATCAAATATTAATTTACAAAAAACAAAATTCTTCTCTTCATCAACAAATTAATCTTCATAAGATTTTTTTCATGAATTTATTAAACTAATATAAATAAATTTGTTTGAATCTATCTAAAACAAATACTAAACAACCCATTATCCCTAAAAAATTATTTGCTCATTTTTCAGGCATGGATTCTAATGTCATTCTTGTTCCATATCATGGTTTTCAAGCCCCTGTAGCCTCAAAGACAAGTGATTAAAATGCTTTAGTTTATACTTAGTGGGAAAACTACACATTAATCAAATAATTAGAACCTTCATTAAAAAGCAAAATGTTCCTGCATGATTAGTGTTTAAGCTGTAATTAATCACCCTGATCAATGCCAGAAAGAACGAAAGCTACGTTGTGGGAGAATTGAATTTGATAAATCAAAAGCAATTTGAGAATCTCCCTATAACTATAAGCTTTAAGGCTGTAATCCTAGCAGGATTAAATATTAACAACTTTTTTTTTCTTTTTAAAGGGTTAGTAGTATTAAAGAAAAGACAATATCGAGAGCGTGTGAATCACGCTCCAATGACATGAAGACATTCACATGCTTAGGTCCCAAAATTGACTTGACAATGATGTTTCGTCTCAGGGTGATTCTGAATGGGAGTGTATGCTTCAAGCTCTTTCTTTTCTTTTGCTGTTTGCCTAAATTTCTATTGAAATTTAAATTTGATAATTCGATTATTTATATTATATTTATTTTATATTAGATATATAAAATACAAAAATTATTATATTATAATTATATTAATAGGTTAAATATAAAATATAATTTTTTATTTTTATTAAAATTTTAAATCTATCATTATTATTTTTCATATTTTATCCAAAACTCTTATCTGAGAAATAAAAAATTCGTAACAAGCAAATCTACGGGAATAAGTGGAGGTTCTGGATTTTCCCGGACCTGGATTTTGGGGTTCGTACGTATGCCTTTTTCTGTACCATTTGCGGTAAAATATTGAGCAAAAACCTCTCCGTTTCAGCTCTTAAAGTACAGAAAGATGCTTCAAATTAGAGGAATTATTGAGAATCCAATCCAAAGGATTTTTTTCCTTTCTATTCTTCTTCCATTACCAGTTAGTGACTTATTGTTAGCATTATTTTAGGTTTTGTTTTTACAGGCAACAATTGAAAAGCAGAGGATCATTGTCTAAATTTCCAAATAGACCGAACATGTGTCATACATTGCATTGGCTAGAAACAACACAAGGTCAAAAGAGAAGAAAAAGGGTGCTTGAACATAACTTTTTTTTTAATTTTTTTTTCTGGGGTACCAATATGGTTTCAGATTGTTCCTCAAGGTTTCATTCTTTTAAGCCACTTTCCCTTCATTCCCTCAATTAATGCAATTCATCTGCCTTTCCAATACATCATCGACTTCAAATTATCCTTTTCTTGCCAAAGACATCAATTTTTTTTTTTTTTCCATTCATTTCCTTTTTTTTTAATATATCTTTCATTTCTTTAGTTGTAATTACATTTTTTATATAAGGAATCCAAGTAGTCGATAGATGATTTTGTAGAGATATAGGTTAAAAATTTTAAAAGATTATCAATTCAAACAATCTGCAAATAGACATTAAATTCTTTGTTTGAAGTATGGATTGATCATTCACATGGAGTGCTATTATATATCAAAGACCGGTTAGTACATTAAAATTGAATTTAAGATGAAGGTCTCAAATTCAAATTTTAATCATAATTTAAAAATTAAAAAATAAAAAAATATATTTTTTATTTTATATTTAAATAATTTATTTTTATTTACATTAGATTAGTTGAAGAGTTTGTAGCATATTCGATCATAATACGGTAAATATTAGTTCAATCAGTAAAGAAACAAATTTATTAATTTTGTGAAAATATTTTAAGAATAAAATTTTAAATGCATCAATCTATATAAAAAGAACATATCCTTAAAATTGTCCAAAAAAATTAGTCCCATAAAAATGCTCTTATTGTATTATATATATATATATAAAAAAAACATATTTGATGATAATTAAATTGCTTATTGCTTGTTCTTAAATGAAGTCTTTTGACAAGGTGCCCTTTTTTTGTCACTATTTTCTGCACCAAAGACATCACAGCAACTTCATGTGATTTTGTTTACACCGTTAAACAATCATGATTCATGTTAAAGTTGGATTTTTACATGTCCACCTAAAAAAGCATTGTAAGATTACGAAGGTTAAAACCAAATGTCCCTTAAATATCTAAACATTGCATCATGTTTATAACATAATTAATTATTTTTTTTAAACAAAATTTAGAATCCATAACCCTTGAATTATCCCCTAAATTTTTTTAAAGAAAATTTGACAGCAATAATATTACATGTTAATTTTAAATACGATATAATAATATCATACAAAATAATAAAATTTAAAATTTTAATAAAAATCATATATAAATTTAATAAAAATAAATAATATATATTTTATTTTTGATGCATATATTAACACTATTAATTATAATATGATAATTTTTATATTTTTCATATATATATTACGAAATAAATATAATATAAAAATATAAATTATCAAATTTATTTTCGATTAAATAAAAAAAAAACCTCTTTCGTGTAAACCAATCAAATAATTGATATATAAAGTTGAGGCCAAACAAGTAGTACTAATATTATCTAGCATGAAATTATAATTGGGATTTTATTTTTATTTAATTCTATGTTTACAGAATTTTCCTTTAAATAGTGTTTTTATAACATGATTTAATATTAATAATATTTACTTTATTTTTATTTATTGTATGTGAGTTTTCTTCATCTAGTTAAAAAAAAAAGAAAGAAGAAAATATTGCTTCATGAAACTAAGCATATCACAATTTAAATTTTACAAGATGCCTTATTCATATTCAAATATAATCTTTCTGCCTTTCTTTTTATTTGGTACATCCTTTCGCCATTCCCAATCCCTATTTTCCTCTCTTTACTTTTCTTCCCTATTCCAGCAGCAAAAGCCACCGTTTATTTTCCTACCTTTTTTTTTTCTGGGTTAAAATTTTCCTACCGTTCTAATAGATTTGCCCACATTTTTTTTCCACATTATCAATAGAATTTTTAAACCTTTCATACACTAGTTAAAAGATGTCATAATTATGATCGCATATCTAAAGATGTCTAATGGGTAGAGAATGGAGAAGATAGAGTATTATTTATCTTCATCTTTGAATTTTTATATTATATCTATATTTATATTATTTAATGAGTATTTTAAATTTATTTTTATATTTATTCTTACGATCATAAATATTTAATAGATATGAGTAATCTTTATATTATAATATTTTTAAAAAAATAAAAATAAAAAAATATATTTTTAATTTTTATTATATATTTAAGTAATTTTTATAAATACATATTAATATTTTTTAATAAAAATATATTAATTCTAATTAATCTAAAATAATTATTTATACTATTTACTAAAATATTTATTTTTAAAATATATAAAATATATATATACGTAGGATATGAATACAAAACGTATGTTACATTACTTGTTCTCATCTTCATTCTCAATAAAAATTTAAAATTATACACATTCCATTTGCAAAAATTTAATATCTATTCCAATTTTCGTTTAAGTAAAAAATTAAATTTCTCATTATGTACGAATAAAATTGACAATTTTACATATTTAAAAGAATTTTTGAATCCCACCTTTTAATAAGACATATTATAATTATTGTTGAATTAAATGTTCAAATAAAAAAATTAAATAAAAACATATGACAAAATTATAAGTTAACAAAATTTAGGGTGCATTTGTATTATATTGGATCCCGAGACGATGAAATTTAAGCCTTTTTTCTTCAAATTACATCGTTGAATGCATTTAGATAACATTTCAATGGTACAAATTGAAAGTTTTCGATTGTATTATTTTATTTTAGATAATTGATTGTTTTAATGTAAATTAAAATAAAAGATATATTTTTAATTATACTAATTGACTATCTTAAATCCGACAATCGATTGTTGTACTCAATTTGACCATCATCGTTGCATTTTCGTTCCCCAACATATTTCAACCATTAATTTAAATTTTAATATTACAATACATAATTTTATTATTGCACTAATTAATTTCACAAATATTATTGTTTTTAATTTTACTGAACTTAATTTTATTTATAAAATATAATGTTAATTTATATAATTTTTAATTTGAATAATCAAAATTTAATTTTAATAGCATGAATTCTCAAAAATGATAATAAAATAATAATAATAATAATAATAACAAATAAAAACGAAAAATAGGAAAAAGGGAAAACATGCGGCACAGGGACCGCATAAGTAGCCGGCGCCAAATATTCGATGGTTCAATAGTTTGGTTCCCCTTTCTTTAAAAACCCACCCCATTCTCCTTTCCTCTGTTTAAAACCCAACCCCAACGCCTCTTCTAATTCTTCCTTCTTACGTGTTTTCTCTCTCTCTCTCTCTTTCACTTCACTCTTCACTTCAAAGCAGCTGCTTTCACCCTTTTAGCCGTTGAATCCTTACAACAGAACCTTAATAAAAAAAAAAAAAACAAAGACATGGGAGTGGAAAGTGGCTTCTCTTCTCCTCGAAATGATGTGTTTCCCGCCGGTCTCCGGGTTCTCGTCGTCGATGACGATCCTACCTGGTTGAAGATTCTTGAAAAGATGCTCAAAAAGTGTTCTTACGAAGGTTACGAAAAACAAAAATTTAAATACTTTGAGGCCAACTTTACTTTTTTACTGTTCTTAACTTCTTTGTGTTTATTTTAATGCACTGTTCTTTGAGTCTTGCTTTCTTTTACTTATACTGTTCATTTATCGGCTTTGGGTTTTTTGTTTTATGGTTAGAAGATTAAAGCTTGATAGCTTGTAGGCATATTTCATTTTCTGTTTTTGGAAAGAGCTGACATATGGTTATCAACTGAATGTAAAGTCGAAAACACATGCTTTAAGTTTAATGGAGGGATTAAGACTATGAACATGTTATAAAAATGGAAGTATTTTTTCAAGCTGCAAAGGTTGAGTACCATGGGACGAGGTTGATCATCACTCTTGGGTCCTGACCATTTTAAATGTCATAGAACTGTGAGAGAGTAATTTTTTTTTTTTTTTGGTTCATTTGTGATATTGGATCATGAAATTGGACGAACTCAATTGAAAAAGTATGCCTTGTGCCACTCGATTTCCATTATATTTTTTCGGTTCTCTTAGTGTTGTTTTGTTTAATCATCTTGCTAGCATGGAGGATATGATTAAACTTAGCCAGACTTTTATTTGACAAAGTTTTCCTGGCAGTAGGGATGAAGATGATGTTTTCTTTTCTGAAGGCTGGTTGTTGTGGGTGTAAAATGTTGGTTCTGGCATCATTTTGGAAAAATGTTCTAATTCTTTAAACATTGGGTGCAAAAAAGACAAATTTGTTTAAAAACCTTTGTTTTAAAAAGGTTACTAGAGTTGGTGAGATAGTACTGGCCGTGTCCTTTGATGCATAGACTTTGTATCTAAATAAGCGCAAAATTTATTTTGCAGATCAATCAAACGGATGTGAAAGTATCTCTTTGAGTTTTGAAGATAATAAAAGAAATTAATTTTATTGAGTATATGTTTTCCTTCTCAGCAAAGCTTAAAATGTTTGAGGGATGAAATTCTGTCACATATCGTTACTACTTAAAGAAATTTCATGAACTTTTTCATTGGCTAGGTTGTTAAAGTTAACCTAGCTCCTCCTGAACTAGAGTGTTGCTACCATAGTTGCTACCCTAAGTGTTTCCTTCAAGCAACTTTGCGGGTCAATCAGGCATGGCATAACGTAGTCTGAGTCCCTCCCCCTACCCTTTGTCTCCTTTCTCACAAATTGAATATGTACTTCGTTAATCTTAGTTGAAGTGGGAACATACATTAATTGTGGAGATTATGTCTAGGTTGATTGATCATGAAGTTCAAGCTACTCCTGCCACCTTTTACTCTGTAATTTACGATTTATGATCATGACTTTTTTTTGGAGCTGGTGATGTCTTTGACTATTGGCTTTTCTGGTGGTAGAGTTTGAACAAGATTAGGTGGATGTCTTTGATTATTGATCATGAAGTTCAAGCTACTCCTGTCACCTTTGACTCTGTAATTTATGACATGATCATGACTTTTAGTGAGAGCTGGGGATGTCTTTGATTTGGCTTTTCTGGTGGTAGAGTTTGAACAAGATTAGGTGGATGTATTAATGAGCTTGACTTTAGCTAAATCGACTGAAATCTACTTTAAAGTTGAAGAGGAAAAGAAAACCCTTTGCTGAAGCTTGATTTGAGGTAGATGCATCCAGGGTCTAACTAGCCAAATATTGGCTTGCCTATCTAGTTTACAGTGTTCCTGTTTTTGTATTAGTTATCCCCAGATGGTTCAGTGGTGCAACTTCATTTTGATCTCTGCCACTTTAGTCAAATATAGTTTCCAAACATCCTTGCAGTTAGACTAAACATGATTTTGACCTGGAGATGGTTGGTCTCAAAAGAATTGAAAACCTAATTTTTTGGGGGGGAGAGGGGTCTATCACCGAAAATTGAATCTGATCTAGGATTAGTGTACTTCTTTTCCATGCTTTAATGGGATGATACTTTAGCCTTTTCTTTGATAATAAAATTAAGCATTCAAACATACTCTTATTCGATCCTGACATTCTTTTTGGGTGCTTTCCCATGTTTCAGTTACTACATGTTGTCTTGCACGAGAAGCTCTAAACTTGCTTCGTGAAAGGAAGGATGGTTATGACATTGTAATCAGTGATGTTAACATGCCTGACATGGATGGGTTTAAACTTCTAGAACATGTTGGACTGGAAATGGACTTACCTGTCATTAGTCAGTTCTCTACCATAACATACAAACCTTTGTTTAAATTTCATTTTCTGCTCCAATTTTTCTTTTCAAATTCAATAGAACCATCTTCTGACAAGCTCCATTTGTGTAACATCACAGTGATGTCTGTTGATGGAGAAACCAGCAGAGTGATGAAAGGTGTTCAGCATGGCGCTTGTGATTACCTTCTTAAACCTATAAGGATGAAAGAACTTCGCAACATATGGCAGCATGTGTTCAGAAAAAAGATACATGAGGTGAGAGACATTGAAAGTCTGGAAGGCATTGAAAGTATTCATATGACAAGAAGCGGCTCTGATATGTTTGATGATGGACACTTGCTTGGTGGAGAAGATATAACCTCAGTAAGGAAAAGAAAAGATGCTGATAACAAGCATGATGATAAAGACCTCAGTGATCCTTCTTCTACCAAGAAAGCAAGAGTTGTTTGGACAGTAGACCTTCACCAAAAATTTGTCAAAGCTGTAAATCAGATTGGATTTGATAGTAAGTATACTTCAAGCTTTTGGTTTTAAAGGTTAATCTCTTGATCATTATCACAAAATGGCAATATATGTAATTTGAGCAATAGTCCAAAGCTTTTCTGCCAATTATATATCTTTCGGTGATATGGCTATAATTTTTAATCATGCTCATAACACCTCACTGTAATTTCTGTTTGACAGAGGTTGGTCCTAAGAAAATACTTGACTTGATGAATGTACCGTGGTTGACAAGAGAAAATGTTGCCAGCCACTTGCAGGTAAATACCTCCCACTTAGATTTTCTTCTTGGTAGTGCCAAGTTTTCTTTAAAAATGACAGCTGAACAGCTGTTAATTTACATCTTCGTGATATATTTTTGGTAGAAAAGAGAGCTTTTTCAAGGAGAAACATGTGTGATCAATTTTACTTTTTTGGATTGTTCAAAAAATGGATGAATTAACTAAGTAGGCAAGATTGAGAAGCTCTATCTTTGTTCTCATTAATATATTTTAGTTTTCATTTTTGTTGTAGAGAAAGTAAGCAGGATTTAGCTAGCATCATATCCCATTTGAATTAATGAATTAATTAGAGCCATGACTAATTTTGCTAGAGATTGACATGATAGATTTTTTATGTTTAGTTTTTGGAATCTATAAAAATTGATCCATGAATTGTTCATAACTTGCAGATATGTTAATTGTCAATAATCTAAAACATCGTTTAGATTCTCATCAAGAAAATTCTCTTGTGCAGAAGTACCGCCTCTATTTGAGTAGGTTGCAGAAGGAAAGTGATATAAAAAATTCATTTACTGGAATGAATCATTCAGATCCATCTTCGAAAGATTCTACTGCCAGTTTTGGTCACCATAACTCGATGAATGTGATGCAGGATGATTTGTCTAATGGCGCCTATAGTTTTTCTGTTAATAACTCACTTGCTCAGAATGTGGATCTCAAAGGTCATGAAGGTGATAGAAAAGGAATTACTTCAGTGCCTGTGGCAGAACCTAAAGGAGCTTTGTCTATAGATATTCCTGATCCCAATAAAGCCAAGAGTTCACATATAAGCTTTGATCATTCCCTTGGATCAGTTGATTCAGGTTTAAACTTTGCCTCATTTAATTCTACCAACCTGGTGCAGTACTCCTGGAGTAAAATTCCTGAGATTCAGTTCAAACAAGAGTGTGAACCATTGCAATTAGAGAATGGCTTCAGCCAACTACCACTGCCAGGGTCACATCATCACATGCAGACAGAATATCTACAACCTTCCGCATCCATTAGCTCTGGACCTTCCATAACTGAAAAAGAGGCTAGTAGTAGCAGAATTGAAGTTAAGCCTATGTACGATGAGTATGGAAGGAATCATGTCAAACATTTAAGTCCAATGGAAGCAGTTGACTTATTTCCTGTTCAAAGCAAAAACCATACGCTACATAATCAAGTTTTTGAGCCCATTTCTACTAGTACATCAAGCATGAAAAGTCCGGACGTCAGTCTGAACTGGCTCACTGACTTGGAATTTGCACAGAGGAACCTGAATGGGGGAGCAGGAATACCTTTTACATCTTTGAGCGAGGACATACAAGTCTGTTGGCTTCAAGGTGATTGTTATGCTATGAATTTTGGTCTGCAGGATTTTGATTGTACTGAGTATAACGATCCAGCATTGATTGCCGAAATTCCATTCCATTTGTATGATGCACCAAGGTTTGACCACGACCATCTCTTTGACCCTGCAGAATATTCTGCATTAGATAAAGGATTGTTTGCATAAAGTCTGTTCCTGCAACGCAACTTCAGTGAAGAAAGGATCCTTTGCTATTTTAGGTAATATCTATAAGTGGAGTACTTCATTTTTATGGATAGGGATGCCATTTTCCCAATCAGTTTGGACTTGGGTGTTGAAACATGTATAATACGAGTGGTAATAAAATGTCAAAAATAATAATTTTGCTGCTGTAAGTTTTCTAACCTGGAATTTGGATCTGTTAGTGCTGTATTAGTATGCAAGTGACATGTGAACTTGGGTGCAATCTAATCCCCTCTTATTTTCAACTTTTAGCTCGGTGATTTCTTTTGTTTGTGGTAGTTTTGACATTTTATGTATTTATAACGTGATTATTTCATATAAAATACGAAAATTATTATTTCAGAATTTATCTCAATGCGTTAATTATGAAATATATTTTTATATTTTTATCAAATTCATATATAATATTTGTTAAAATTTTAAATCACATTATATTTATATATATATTTTTTGTATGTTTGTGTTACGTCATCGTGTTTGTGGTACTCATTGACTTTATTTTGTACTTTTGAGTCTCCAAGACTTTTAACTGATTTTGAGATGCATTAAAGACCTCAGGGCCAGATTTGGCACAGAGAACTAACATAAATCCATAAAACATAAAAGCGACCAGGTAGGCATCTAAGGTTCCTTACAAAATTGTACCTAGGATTGATGTGGAATTTGGCACTAAATGAAAATTACAAATTTCTCCCCGATATCTTCCCGATGGTCAATTCTATCACCCATCATAACATGATTTTCAGTTTCTATATGCTTAATTACTAAAAGAAAGGAAAAAGTCAGCGATCACACCGACCAGCAACCGACCCTCCACGTTCACGCTTGTAAGAAATACTCCCTTTGCCAACTGAAAGCTGGATATTTGGGGAAGCATTTTCATGCCTGTTCTTTGGCAATGATGTCACCGAACAAGTTATCCTGTTATTTTTCATTAATACATGCTTAGAACTTTCAGTATTAATGGAAGGCCCCCTTGGAGGTCTAGAGTTTGCATCCTGCACTGCGCTGGGAGATGGCTTCCTTCCAAAATTTGGTGATTGAGGACATGTTGAAGGGATCTGCAAGGCATAATTTACCGTTAATTCTAGGACACAAAAGCTGTAAGAATCTTCAAAAAAACATAGAACATCATCCTTTCTCAATTACACCCTTTCACAGGAGAAAGGAATTTGACACTTGGGGAAGATCAGAACAGAGTTTAGTCTGCTTCTGCACCTATTGACCATCAAGAAAAATTGACCATCAAGAGAAATTTAGGATCACAAGGTGAATCGAACTGACAAAATAAACTTATGACAAACTTTAACTCCATTTCATGGGATAGAGCCAAAAAATTTGAACTCGTGGCTAAGCTGTTCAAGTTACTGTTGAAGGGAAGCAGAGGAATTTGAAGCATTGTTAATTCCACTATAGCATAGGTATAGCCAGCATCGAAAGAAAGCCAGTTAAGAATAGACATAAGAACCTTCTTAATGTTATTGCGTGAAGGCTGTGATCCATTGTTTTCTTCATTTGGCCTAGCTTTAAAGTCAGCACTCTGCCTGAATTTGTCAAGGTCATTGTTTTCTTTCTTCTGCATATCATGCCAAATATTTGTACTTTAATTGGTGTCACATGCAATAAAGCAAATGAGATTGGAGGATATCTATACTATGTTCATGCACAACTCATAATCTGCAAACACACACACACACACACACTGATTATTCATAACATGCATTTCACACCCACAGAGACAGTATTCATATAGTATAACATAAGACTCTAGATCAAATTGGGCAACTCATCCAAATTGATTCTTGAATTAGTTCACACATCTGCAATTTAGGAACTTGGCCTCAGCAGTTGCAGGGTTTAATCAATAACACTAGTGCTAACTCCCAAATACATATAAAAACATCCTAATAAGGTTGTCTAACATGTACCTTTGATAGTATTTGCATTTGTGATTTTTCTGGCTCCTTCGAATTCATTTTATCTTCTAGCTTCTTAAAGAACTGGCATGGAGTGAGTAAGAAAGCACTAAGTTTTTGTACAATTTCAAATCATTACAATTAAAGCATGAGGAAACATGACAGTAAGACTTGCCTCTTTCCGTTTTGTTGCCCTTTCTTCGCTCCTAGAACTAAATGGAGAGGAACTAACAGGAGATCGTGTGCTGGTTCCACTTGCATTAGATGATTTTGAGCAGCTACCACATATTCAAAAGAGAAAAATTATGAGGTTCATATAAGAAAGGGGCTTCAGTAATTAGATCAATAGTATCTGAGAGCCAGTATGGAAAGTAAATTTAATCAATCAAGAAAAAGGAGCATACAGAAGCTACTGAATGGGGCATAAATTTAATCTTAGTACTTTGAAATTAAAATGTGAAAGAACACAGCCCAAAAAACAGAATGTATTGTGTACAAGCATAATGCACTTTTGGAAGCTCCACCCCACACCCCAAAATAAAAGAGTATACTAATAAGTAAATAACTTGATTAGTTCTCTGACATCCCCAGCATGCAAAATATGAAAAAGGTTAAGTAGCAAAAGCTTACTTGGAGAGGGAGGGCCATCTCCCATCTCCAGCCACCCCTCCTGGAACTGACTTATTGAGTACTGCTCTAGTCCTGTAGAAATAGATTATGTCAGTGAAGGGGAAAAACCATTTTTAAGCAAAGTGTCAGCAAAGACATTTTGGGAGGGAAGACTACCTTTTATCTTGTGACTGAAGAACTTTTGAAGCATGCTTTGAACCCCAATTAACAGATGCCTGCGATTTGCGAATGTAACTCCTCTTGGTCATTTAACAAATCTAAACCACTTGGTGTCTACTTCCAAAATATTTAGTACCCTCTAAAATAATTTGAAAATAAAAATGTACACTCAGACAATATTGTGACTTTTTCACCTACTGAAACATTCCAAATATTTTTATTTTGTCATCCACTCTTGAAAATATCCAGTACTATTTCAGCAGATGCAATTGTGTCTTAATGTGCAGATATGGAGAAAAGCAAATAAAGTGACACAGAAAAAGTACCCTGTTTGGAGTTTGTAGTGGAGTCGAACTTTCTCTGGATATCTTGAGTGATGTTTTATTGGTTTCACCAGCACGCACAGTGAAATTCATTGACATGTGGAGGGATTTTTGAACATTTCTTTTATGCACATTGAAATCTACTGCTGACTTCTGATTAATCAAAGCATGGTTATTCCCAATTCTTGAAGTTACTTGTTTGGATAACACACTATCACTGGATAACTTCGATGTGGAGTTTGATTGTCCTTTTTTCACTTGATGGAGCTAAATTCTCTTGGTCACCAGCTTTCTTCAATGCCCTCGTTGGGGTTCGTAGAGGAGTTGAACTATCTTTTGGCATTCTAAGCAATGGTTTACTAGTTTTGCTGGCACCAGAAGCAAAATTAATTGACATGTGGAGCGAATTTGGAATTGTTTTCTTTTTGACATTTGTGTTTACTGTGGACTTAGCAACACTAGCAACACTCCTGGCTTGTTCTGAAGCCACTTGTTTAGAAGGATGTAAGGGAAGTTTGGGTGCTCTGCTGGTAGTTGATGACTTTGACAAAGAATTTGTTCCCCTTTTCTTGCTTGACGGAGTCGAGTTCTTCTGATCAGTACATTCCTGCAGTGTCGCAGAATGAGGACAATGATAAAGACTTGACCAAGAAAGAATAAAAGAGAAGTCGTTGTTAAGTTAGTAGCATTACCGTATGAGGAATCTGTTTGTATAAGGTTGCTATAATCATGCCATGGTTGTCAACATTTTCAAGAGCCTTAGAATTTTCAACCTGGGTATTGTTCTCCATATTCACACCTTGTTCCATTACTGCCTGACCTCTCTCCAGATTAGAGACATCCATATTTTCTCTTTCAACATTTAAATTGCCTGCACCTACATCAGCAGTACTAGCTACCTCAGCATCAGAAACATCTTTCTCCCGTTGATTTACAGCCAAAGATGTGTTCGAATTGGCTGAATCCGTAGTCAAGGAAAAGTCAACAGGAGTTGCATTTATAGTTCCCATTTGAGAGGCATCATTGGTAACAGTATTTGCTTGCTCAAGCAAGGCTGCTGCTCTCATTGCAGCTCTTCTCTTGTAATGAGCCTCAAAATAAGCTTTCTTCTGAGCAACGGATCCTGGCTTTGAAAACTTTTCGACTTCTTCCAAGTATCTATTGTGAGAGAAGGTTGACCATTTCTCCCAAGCCAGCGATTCTGACATAAATCTGCCGAAAGACACTGATTCTGTGAGGGCTTGAATTGGGTCACCCTGTAATTCAAAATCGACCATCAGTTTTCTGACCAAATTCTTCAAAGCAAGGCTTTTAAACTGCTGATCTCACTCTTATGAAACAATAAAACTAAAAACTTGTTACAGAGCTCCATCCCTCATTGACATCTCTATTCATTAATACTAAGATTGATGGGAAAAAAAAAACAGCATAATCAAAAAATTTCTTAGGGAACCGTCATTAACAGCCCTGTTTGGTCACTGAGAGACTCAAAGGAAACCGTCATTAACAGCACTGATGTGTTATTCAGATCTCTTATGAGTAACCATTTTCCAGATGTCAGTAAAACAAAACAACTGAATCAAGAGCACCCATTAAGTAAACATAGTAAAAGGAAGAGCTTTTATCAGTGAAGTTTCAGTAATTCTTTCACAAAACTGACCTCTTTAGCTTCATTAGACATATCTACAGGATTAGAAAATGATCTTACAAGACAAGCGGATTCACCCATTTCCAAAATCACCCTAACTTTTTTTTTCTTTTCTAGTTTCCTGCTCTCCTCTCTTGCTCCCCTCGTTCACTCTTCTGTTTCACAGCTTTAGCCTCTCTCGCTCTGCGAGTAAAAAAGAAACCCAGCAAGAAAGGCTCCCTCTTCTAACCGTTATTTGAGAGACGCTCTCTTTCTCACTAGGCTCATGGTCATGGGTCCATTTCAATGTCCAGGCCTAACAATGGGTTTAATCGAGATGTGCAAGAAAAGGAAGCTCCTTTTCTTTGTGTGGGGCTTTTTTTTTTTTTGGTTTGCCTTCAAAGCTTCGGGTTTTTTTTGTTTTTCTTTTTTAACCTCACTTTATAACTCTGTTTTTTCCATGTTTTCTTGTGAATCTGTGTTTGTAAAGAATCTCATCATTTTCTTTTCAGTAACATAGATCTAATCTGGTTCGATCTGATAAATGAATTGGGTCCCATTTGTTGAGATTTAAAAGCTTCCCAACGTCTAGTTGCTTTTTTGTTCTTTATACTTGATAATTATTAGTGGTTCATGCTCATATATGTCAAGACAGAAAAAAGGAAAATGTGGGTGCCCTGGATTTAGAGAATCTCTAAAGCTTTATTACATTAGTTTAATTTGGCTGCTAATTTGAATTGGTGGTGGAGCTATTAGAGGCAGACAAATCCAGTGTTCAGAAAATAGGTTTTGCAACGGCTTTCGTCCGCAATTATGTATAGAAGTTTGGGGGTACCAATATTTTTTTTTCAAGTCAAAACAAAAATTTGGTTTGACTTTACAACAACCTTTATGTCATTTAAGTATCATTGCTGCAAGTGTTGTTCAAAAACTATATTAAACTGTATTAAGAATTAACCTTCCAGAAGGAAAATGTGTTTCTTTGGTAAGAAAAAAACATGTAAGAATAGAAAATGCTAAGAATGAAAGTCAAGCTTTTTATTTTCTTATTTATGTACTGGAATGCAAGTCAGATGTTGATGGTCTTTGCTTTTCGTGTGCCTCTTTTTCATATAGGAAGGTCCTTGCCTCTTTCGAAAGGTGAAGATAATTTTGTTTAACATCATCTTTATATGGTACACTTTTTTAAGGTATGGTCCGACTTGCGAAATTAGGAATATTTCTTTTTTATAATATTAATATTAACCCAATGTTATGAATTAATATTTTCCTATTCAACAAGCTGAATTTGAATCTCTTCTAAATCAGAAGAAATACACTAAATGAAGCAAAAAAAAAAAAAACCCTTTTGTGGGAAAGAAAAGATTTGATCGGAAGGAAAACTGTCCTCGTTTGTAGGGGCCTGAAAAAATCTAAATAATGACTCGATTAATCCGAACTTGAATTCAGTTTAAATATAAAAGAGTGCAGTAATGAAAAACTGAGTTATCAAACATTCTTCCAGTCAAAATGTCATCTGATTCCATTCAACTTAAAAGGATTTGTTCATCGAGGTAGTAATTGGACATAATAACAGGGTTTTCGACCACCATGAAATAATAAAAGGTTTTTGTTACGCTTTGAATTGAACTTATTGCCCAAAACAGTTAATGTAGGGCTGAACAGTGGTTGTGGAGTACAAAGTTCTGATCATTGATGGCTTTGCCTGCCAACGCCTTTGACCAACTACTTACTTTTAGGTAAAAATGTTGATCAGTTCAGTTGGAACCACTCGTGAACTATCAACTTCTCCCACCAAACCAATTCATATCCAACGTTAATTCGAAATGAGCTTTAACCATTTTGTAATTCTTATTTGACATTCAATGAAGCTTAAAACAAAGGATATTTTAATATTTCAATACTCTAGCAATATTAATATCTGAAGAGGAAACCTCAATTAAAAAAAAGAATAAAAAGAGAATTCGAGCATAAGGCAGCTGGGCTTCTTGGTGTTTTGAGGAAGGTTGTTTCGGTTTGTGGGAAGAAAGAGAAGATCAAGGAATGAATGTAGAGGCGGTGTCAGCATAAAGAGTACGGCTTGTGGCGGTTGGCTGTTGGACGATTGGGAACAACGAAAAGGAAGAAGAGAGGTTGGCAATCAAGTATTAGAATCTCAGGCTGTTTGGACGAGTGATAGGCGATAGACTGGCCAGCATCTGCCTTTGAGGAAGGTGTTTGGGTTGGAAAGAAGAAACGTGCTTGTTTTTTTTTTTTTTTTTAAGTTGGAAATGAAGTAATTTTTTCTTTTTATTTTTATGTTGAAGAACCGGGTCAGACGAGCACCTAAACTAATCTGCTACTCGCAACAAACCGAATCCATTCGGCTACGACCCTCACCCATTAGACACAGCTCTGAGTCAAGCCATAGACAAAGCCCAGGCTTCAGCCCACTTATTTTGAGGCTCTTCCATTGAATTGGATTTAGGACCCAAATTGTGGTTGATCCATTTTAATTTACTTAGTTTCTTGTTTATTTATTTTGCAACCATATTTTGAATAAATATATATTTAATTATTTTGAGTTGTTGATAATAAATTTATTTTTGACAAAACATGTTAAATTATTAAGATTGTAATTTTAATTTAAATTGGTGTAATTATATTTATTTCATCATAAATGTTACACAAGTAAAATTAAATTAAAGTCCCCGGGACTCTGAAAAATTCGAATAGTGATTCTTAAAAACTCTCTAGGTGAAAAAAGTCTTCTAAAAATAATCAAAATATTAAAATATTTAGGAGCTTTTTTCAATATAAAGATTCTCATTTTATTATTATTTCTTTAATTTGAGTAATTTTTAAAGAAACAAAAATGTAAAATATTTATAAAAAATGCATCTTTAAGAAATAAATTTATTTATGAATAATTATATTATTGCATAACTTTTAGAATGAAAATGTTAATAAATAAAAGAAAATAAACAACATTTTTTATGATGAGATTCAAAGATAATTCGAGTAGTGATACTTATGAAATCTCTAAATAAAAAAATTTTTCTTTTAAATAACATCAGTGCATTAGAGTATTTATAAAAGATTTTCAATATAAACAAAATTTTCTTTTTTTTTTAAGAAAAAAATACAAAATAATAATAATAATAACAATTTTCACATGCATATTGCACCTTATCTTTTGCATTACATAATCTTAAAAGTAATGTAGGTTTTTGAAGCAAGGATTTTTAAGATGTCAAAGTAGTGATTTTTAAGAAATTCCTATATGAAAAAATTTTTCTAAAAAAATATTGTCAAAGTATTGAAATATTTAGAATGATTTTCAATACAAAAAACTCTCATTTACTTTTCATTTCTAAAAATGAACTTTCTTGCAATACAATAGCATCACAAGTTAATCCATCCGCGTCATATTATAAAAGCAAACGAAATTTTCGAAGATGAGATCTTCAAAAAGTTCGAGTAGTGATTCTTTAAGAATCTTTAGATGAAAAAAATTATCTAAAATGTTAGTAGTGTACTAGAGCATTTAGAATAGTTTTTTATAAAGATATCTCATTTTTTAATAAATAGGCTAAGAAATGAATTTTTAGAAAATATTATTATGATTAAATTACAAACCTCAAAATTTACTATATGTATCATAAATATAAATATTGAAGATAAATTTGAACTGCCGATGATAGGATTCTAGAAAAGTCCAAGTAATAATTTTTAAAAAATTTTTAGGTGAGAAAATTCCTTTTAATATTGCTAGAGTATTGGAATATTGCTAGAGTATTGGAATATTTTAATATAAAAAGCATATTAGTAAATATTTAACACATTGATATTTTTAATTAAATTCATTTCATAATTTTGATTGCTTAATTGGTAAAAAAGGAAATTTATTATATAAAAAAAAGGTTTGCATAAAATCCAAATGTAATAAGTATTTATAGATCTCATGAAATTATAATATAAACTAAGGATAAAGTGCAATTAAATTTTAATAATGAAGCTGATAAAAAAGAACAGACAAATTTAAAATTGAAGACAAAAATATGATTGAGGAATCGAATTGAGAAAAGTTCATCAAATTCTAAACTATTTCTGGATCCCTAAACATTTATCTTCTTTATGCATACATATACCCATGATTAGAAAGTTCTATTCCTTGACTAAAAAAAAAAAAAGAATGATTAGAAAATTCTAATTTAAAATTTTTATCATCATAATAGAATAAAGTTTAGAGTACGAGCAATAGAACTTATATATGTTAACCAAAAATTACATGAAAAATAAAGAAATAAAAACTTGTTTAAAAATAAATCACATACCTCAAAAAATGAAAAAAAAAAAAACTTTTTTATTTTTTGAAAAGATCCATTGTTTATTTTTATTGTTCCTATAAATCATTGTAAAAAGAAAAAATAATAAGAAAAGGGAAATTTAAGGGAGGAAATAGAGATTTGAAAAAAAATATAAATGAAAAAAATACTTTTAGACAAAAAATTTGAAGAAATCTGAAATAGAATGAGTAAAGAAATGAGTTTTGGATGAAATAGAATAGTAAAAATCTATTATGTTTTCAATTTTACATCAAGCATTATAAAATATAAACAATTAAATATGATTTTATCTATTTGTTTAAATGGATGTTTTTATTTGTTTATTTAATTAGAGATTTAAAAAATGAATTAAGATGATCAAAATTTTTAAATAGTTTGAATTTAAACAATTTGAATGTATTTAAATATCTATGGATTTAAAAATATATTTAGATATATTTTGAATAATTAATATGATTTAATGATTTAGTTTGAAAGTTTTTTATTATTGATTATTTTGAATAGTATATAATTGGATTTAGATATATCTTGATTAAAAGAAGAATTTAAATATAAATCAACATTTATATATTTTAAATATTTAATTTAATTTAATAATTTAATTTGAAAGTTTTTATTATTGATTATTTTGAATAATATATAATTGGATGTAGATTATTTGAAAAACAATGGATTTAAATTCAAATAAATAGTTGTAGAGTTTGGTCTACTAAAAAATGATAAAAATTAGCCCAAATATGACATTTTAAGCTTATTAAATTATATTTGAAAATAAATTATAAAAATTATTTTTAAAAGTAATTATCCTTCATGCTCACTCAAATTCAAATATCTATTTAAAAATAATTTTGATAGGAAAGGAAATTGGAAATAATGATCATATAAAAAAATTTTGATTTTGAAATGAAAAATTACATATATATCTTAACAAACATCATGAAAACAATTAAAAAGATTTCAAGCAATCCAATAATGGAATTATTGCAACTGAAAACAAACCCAATTTCATAACATGCAAGAATATCCAACATCAACCAAAACCAAAGGGAAGATATTCAAAGTAAAAGCAACAAATCCATCTAATTCAATAATCAAAACCACTCATTTTCAAATTCAACTAAGGAAAAAAATAAAGCTTTTCTTTTCAAAGAAACAATGAAAGAAAGACTCTGCTTTCAATCATTTAAAAGCTAAATTTGAGAAACAATGAACAAAGTAAAAAAGGCACACCCAAAGTAGGTGGTGGAAGCATGAGTCTTTCTTTGACAACCTTGTAGAGCAATCAAACTTAAACTTAGGATTAAAACAAAAATGAATGTCAAAAGAAAAATGAATTAAAATTAATATTGATTTTTTATAAAAATAAAATTATAAAAAAAACCATATACGTTTCAAAGAAAAGTTGTAAATCCAAAAAATAATAATTGTGCAACACATACCATTAATAGGTTTTGTAGGTTTATATAGGTTTATTGTATAACAATTAAAGTGTATAGATAATTTTGATTATAAAAAGTTTAAAAATATAGTAATAAGTAATATTTTTTTTTCAAATTTTAAAACATAAAAAAAAAAGGAATATAATAAATTTTATGAAGGTAAAATTATCAAAATTTAAAATTTTAAAATAGAAATATATCTATCTAATTAATCAAATTTGAATTAAATAATATTAATTTTTAAAGTTTCAAATTTATGTTATAATTTACTATTTATTTTAAATATATAATTTTATCTATTTATTTTAAATCTAAATTGATTTGCCATTTAGATTTAAATTAAATCTAAATCCAAATATATCTAAACCAAATTTTTATCTACTTAAACAAATTTGAATATTTTAAAAATATTTGAATAATACTAAATAAAGTAAATAATCACATTTCCTTTTATCCATTTTCAAATTAATATTTAAATATTTATTATATTTAATAATTTAATTTAAAAGTTTTCAATATTTGATTATTTTGATAATATATAATATAATTATTTATTATTATTTTATATATCATCTAAAAAACTTATTTATTTAAGTGTCTATATAAATAAATTTTATCAAATTTTTATATCTATTGTAATATAATATTATATATGATTTCTTAAAAATAGTTGCCTAATCTTACTAAAGAAAACTTCTGTCATCTGCAATTAATGAATGGTCTCTCATTATGACAATAGGTGGAATCAAAATCGATTTTTATTCCTCTCAAACTTGATTCAATTTTTTTTTATTTTTTTATATTCGAATTTAACTCAATATAATATTATATAAGTTGTATTAATTCAAAATTAATAAAAAATATTTTTAAAAAATATAAAATATTATTTTTAATATAAATATAAAATTATATAAATATATAAATAAAAAATTAATTAAAAAATAATATATATATATATATATATATATGAAATAAACTCAATTTAATATTTTTATTATTATTCGATTTAATTCGACTCAAAATTTAATTTAAAAAAAATCAATCTTATTAAATCACGTGGAATCAAAACTCATAATAGCTGACAACCCTCGTGGTTCCAAAACTTCTGATTGATCATTGTTAATCTTGAACGGTAGTTCTCTATCTTTATCAACATGATTTCTCAAATATACCCTTTGTTTCAACCCTTTAAACACACTGAACAAAAGGGTTGTTTTAGTCATAAAAAATGGTTCACCTTCGATATAAACTGATGCATACCCTTCTTTCTCTATTCACTCTTCAGTATTTTCTTTCTGCCTTGTCTTAGGCCTGAGACAATACTTTCAAATGTGAAATGATCCGTTTTACCCCTCAAACCATTTTTATTTCCCTCTTACTATTACTCGGTATCCTGTACTTCATCTATTATCAACGGAAATGGCATCCAAACTACAGGTCAAAGCTAAATTTACAGTTACAGTCAGTAACCCCACCGTCACCGCTCAGACTCCCTATAATCGGTCACCTTCACCTCCTCACTGACATGCCACATCACACCTTCTCTAAACTAGCTGAAAAACTCGGTCCAATAATTTACCTCCGACTCGGCCAAGTTCCCACCATCGTCGTCTCCTCAGCTCAACTTGCTCGACTCATCCTCAAAACTCACGACCACGTCTTCTCAAATCGTCCGCAACTCGTCTCCGCTCAGTACCTCTCCTTCAACTGCTCTGACGTCACGTTTTCCCCTTACGGCCCTTACTGGCGCCAAGCTAGGAAAATCTGCGTCACCGAGCTGCTCAGCTCGAAACGTGTTAGCTCGTTCCAACTCGTCCGAGATGAGGAGGTGACACGGTTGCTGACGACGTTATCAACTAATTCAGGGTCAGAAGTCAACGTGAGCGAGCTTTTCTTCTCCTTAGCGAATGACATCCTATGTCGAGTAGCATTTGGAAGGAGGTTCACGGAAGGGGTAGGGTCAGATCAGGGGCAAAAGCGACACCTGGTAGGGGTGTTGACGGAGACCCAGGAGCTGTTCGCTGGGCTGAGCATAGGGAATTTTTTTCCCGAGTGGGAGTGGGTACACTCAGTGAGTGGGTACAAGAGGAGGTTAATGAAGATTTTGGAAGAGTTGAGGAGGGTTTGCGATGAGATAATAGAGGAGCATCTGCATTTGCAATCGAGAGGGACTGCGAAGGAGGGGAATAAAGAGGATTTCGTGGATGTTCTGCTGAGGGTGCAAAAACGAGATTACTTGGAAGTACCCATAACTGATGATAATCTCAAGGCTCTTGTTCTGGTAAATATTTAATTCCTCCCCCTTTCTCTCCTTTATTATTTTTTTATGGAGTTGGTGTTTGACAACGTTGACTCAGTTGGAGTCCGAGTTAGGGAAGCGGTTAGATTTAGATGATATATATATATGTATATGTAGGGATGTGGAACAGTGGCAGTATGCTGCCTGCATGTAGGTGTTTATATAGTAACGTCACGTCAGCAATGACGGTCGCCTGTTTCAAATGTTTTAATGTCACGTTAACCAGTGCCTCTTGCCCACCCTAGGTTTAGACATGAGTTGTGCAAAAAACCTGATCTTGCGAAAAATATTTAAAAGATAATATGATGCAAGATAGATATATATAGGGATGGAAGATTAGTTTGTATTAAAAAAATCATTTATTTAGACCGAAATTAATCTAAGTATAATTATTTAGAAAATATTCAACAATCCAAATCGGATTAATTTAAATATGAACAGTTGAAATTGTTCAATTCAAAAGTTATATTTATTAAAATTGTATTAAAAAGTAACAAAAAAAAAAGAGTAAAACCTCAATATTAAAAAATCCAAATCTCAGAAATATAAACCTAAAATAATTTAAACTAGATCTGATTGGATACAGTTAATGACCACGTGTACATGATAGAATGTGGAAACGGTTTTTCACTTAAAACGCACAAGGCGTGGCCTCATGGACCATTCGGCTTTCCCTTATATTTTGAGTTGACAGAAAACAACAATTCGTGGTAAAGGCAGGTTTCAACTTTCAATTATTTTGGACTCTAATACTGTTTGGGAGTGGGTTAGATGCATGTTTTTGAGTTTGAAACTTTGAATTATACAAACAAACGGATAGGACTGAGATTGGAGTGTGAATCATCTCAGACTTGAGTTAAACATTACAGTTATTGGTTTTTCCAAATTTAATTCAAAGTTGAATTGATAGAATGAATGAGTAGGACAAGATCAAATTAATTATTAGTTTTAAATTCTTTTTTTAGCCATATTCGTGTTAAATTCTTGGTATTGTAGCATCTTGCTGAATTATAGGTATATATTATTTTTTAATTTCTTTTTTATGAATGAAATTATAAAAAATATATTTTAGTTAACATTTTATCATTAAATCAACAAACATGACTTATGTAGCTAAGAAAAAATAGATCTACCTCTGTTTTGTATAAAAATAGATTTTATGAATTTGATACTTTCTGTGTTTCATTTTCTTTATTAATTTATTTTTATATCTCGGAATGATTTTTTATTTTTTTAATATTTAAAACTCTTATTTTTTAATATTCTAAAATTATATTTAATGATTTTTTTATTTTTTGATATAAAAAATCATAAAACTTTAATTTTATAAAAAAATTTAAAATTTTAATATTAAATACATTAAAATTAATTTTTTTTAAAATTTTGTAAAATTTAATACCTGAAAAATATTTTGGGACGTAACATAGAATTCTCGCATATAAATTAAACAACTGGTAGGCGTAGAGCTGTACTATTGGTGGGGCTACTGTACTATTGGTGGGGTGACTGCCGTCTAATGTTGATCGCATGAGTGACATAGGAAAATCTAACAATCAGACAACACTCTATGATTTGGACAGGCTGGTTTTTTATTCGTGCAAGCATCCATTAACATTAAAAAAATTTATATTTTTTATAATTATTGATTTTAGTAAATTTAAATGATAAAATTAAATATTTTTTATTTTTTAGATTTATTCAAATCAATAATTAAAAAATATATAATTTATTAATTTTATATTGATTTAAATTGATTCTTCTTTATATATATGTGTGGACAAGATTAATTTAATTAATTTTTGTTTTATAATTTTTTTAACCCTTAATTTAAAAAATTTAATTTAAGGATTGAGAAAGACAAGTACAAGTACAAATACAAATAATTTTATTTTATTTCTTAGATCTATTAAAATTAATAATTAAAATAATATATAAAACTTTTTGAATTTTATATTATATAAATTGATTTTTCTTTATATATATATATATATATATATTTCTTTTGTTGAGAAAAACTCAGTTACAAAGTGGTCTGGCTCAGATATCACAGTGCATAATAATTAATGAGTTGCACTTTGTAATAGAAACAAAAAAATGAAGGGAAGGGTTAAAGGGATCCAAAATTAACTATATTGATTTATGTAGTTATTTTTGAAAAGAATATATAGCTCAAAAAAGTCCTTAAATAAAATATAATAATCATTTAAGTTTTTAACATTTTATTATAATCAATCAAGCTTTAAATTTTTTATTTTAAATCAATCAAATTCTTAAATATTTATTTTTATTTAATTTATTTTTTAAATATATATTTTTATCCAATTAAATTCTCAATTGGACAGTTAACCATTTTCCCTCTAACAAGAATTTAAACTATGAAAATAAATATTTGAGAATTTAATTGATTGTGGATTTGATTTTATTGAATTTTAGTTTAAAAATTTTTTTTTTTAGTCTTTTGCCTTTAAAAAGTGTCATTTAATAATTTTAAATTTTAAATCCTTTCCCTATTTCAAACTATAGTCTTTCTTGGAAGGGTGCAACTATTTGCACCTCTTTTTTCGCTCTTGACATCCTATTCTCTTAATTTTTTAAAAAAATTATATCTAAGTGAAATTATATAATTATTTTTTTTATTTCAATTTTAAAAGTCTCTAAATATGTATATCTAATAAATTTTACAATTTATTGAATATTCATATTCTATAAGTTATAAAACTTACCGGATTAATTTATCGAAACTTACTAGATTTTTATATTCGATAAGTTTAAAAAAAAGTTACATTTAGAGTTTTTAATAAAATTCATCTAATTAATATCATCTCAGTTTAACGAAGAAATATATTTAATTTTTTGAGATTCTAACCAAACCTAGAAATTTAGTTTAAAAAAAAACTTATATCCTGAAAGATTTGCATAATATTAAAAAGGAAAAATCTGGATTTGTTTTACATAATTATAAACCTATTTATGAATTGATAGATAGAAATTACAGTTTTAATAGAAAGAGCACTTAGATCATATTATTTGAGTCTTTGAATTTTTTCTTAATTTTAATGATCTAAGATAAAAACTTTTAAAAATTTTCGAATTTATAAATTTGGAGATTTTAAAAGCTTTTGGATTTAGAAAAGCTTAAATATATAATTAAATAATTTTATTTAAAATTAAATTATAAAAAATGTGAAGAGAAAAAAAAATGAGATGCAAATAAAAGCTTCCTATTGTAAAAAAAAAAAAAAAATGTTAGAAGGCATGCCTTGTTAAGTGGGTACAAGGTGAAGTTGTGCTGGGTGGGAAGGCTGTGCGGTGTGACTAATAAATGAATTTTTCAGGACATGTTTGTTGCTGGAACTGATACAACAGCTGCAACCCTGGAATGGACAATGACAGAATTAGCTAGGCACCCTGAAATGATGAAGAAAGCACAAGAAGAGGTTCGAAGCATTGCATGTAAAGCCGGGAGGGTTGATGAGAGTCATCTTCAACACCTTCACTACATCAAGGCTGCGATCAAAGAGACGATGAGACTACATCCATCGGTACCTTTACTGGTTCCACGAGAATCGATGGATGAATGCATTCTTGATGGCTACAAAATACCTGCAAAAACTCGGGTCCTGATCAATGCCTATGCTATAGGACGAGATCCAAATTCATGGGAGAATCCTCTGGAATATAATCCTATGAGATTTGAGGATACAAACATTGGTGCCAAGGATCAGGATTTTAGGTTTCTACCATTTGGAGGTGGGAGAAGAGGTTGCCCAGGTTACACCTTTGGTCTGGCAACAGTTGAGATTGCACTTGCTCGGCTCTTGTTTCACTTTGATTGGGCATTGCCTCAAGGAGCAGGCACTGATGATGTGGACCTCAATGAGATTTTTGGTCTGGCTACGAGAAAAAGAACTCCTCTCGTACTAGTCCCAACGATGAACAGAGGACTATGGATTTAAGTAGGATGATGAATTGGTGATCAGAAGTAGACTCCTGCGGTCAAAGAATAAATTGGTTTTCTTTCACTTGCTGTTGTCTATCTAATAATGTCGAATACTCGTAACAAAATAAAGGGAAATTCTATTTGCATCACCGTTTTTGTTTTATGCATCTTCATTATTTTCTTCAAAATGTTTTGTAATTAAAATTATTAAAATATTTTTTTCACAACATATTCCAAAATGAAAATTTTTGAAAAATTACAAAAAAAAATTATTAAAATTATTTATAAATAAGTATAATAAAAAAGTTATTATTAAGGAAAGAATAATAAATATTTTCTTATTGGTTATTAAAATTTTATAATAATTTTAAATAAACTAAATTTCTTGAAAAAATATCTTCATTTACTTATTACAACGAAATTTGTACATTAACATATTAAATTTTGATATAAAATTATGTAATATTTAATAATATTAGTATCTTTTTATTCATAAAAATGCAATGTTGATAAAAAAAACTCTTTAATTTTGAATTAATTCTAATTTTTTCAACTCCCTTATCACTGGTTCTCCAATTCGTATAAAGTCAAAAGACACGAAAATAGTAATTTTTTACTTTTTTTTTTTTTAACTTCTTGAAACATCATAAAAAATCCCAACACATGTACAATTATCATACTCAAGGACGTTCATTTTCAATCAAAACAATAAAAATATTTTTTATTAATTTTAAAATTTATTATTTTTCATTATACTTTTTTTATTACATTAATTTATAAATACTTTTATCGACATTTCCTTTTTTGTAATTTTTTTTCAATATTTCACTTTTCAAAAAATATTATGAGTTTCCAATCCAAAAATATATTTTCAAAAAGTACTATGAATTCTCGGAAATATATTTTTAAAAACTGTTTTAACTTCTCAAAAATTCATTCATGAGAAATATCATGAGTTCTCAAAAAAATTGAATATCCGATAATTTAAAAAAAAAGTAATTTTATTTAAAAATTTTTAAAAAGAATGGAGGTGTAGAGAGCAAAAACGGTGTGCATTTAGAACTCCCCAAAATAAATTTCTCCCCCATGTAATGTTTCCAGTGCCCACTATAGATTTCATTTCATATTGTGGTAATTCAAAACAAATATTTGATATATGCGCAAAATCTGCGATTGGCACTTAAACTTACTGACAGAACATTTGTGGTAAATAAACATATAATCATGAACAAAACTTTGCAGCAGAATTTTTGTGCTTGAAACATTCCTGGAGCACATGAAGCATCCAATTCCAGGACCAATGACTATGACAACCAAATGGCTAGTCTATCCTCAACCTTTAACCCTGGTAAGTGAAATAAAAAGTTGAAGAAAAAATCATTCTAACCCCTCAATGAATCAAATTAAGGGCAAAACGTAATGATAAAAGAGAGTTGGTCTTACATTCCAATAACAATGGTAGTGAAATCGTAAGCAACATTAGTATTTATTTAGCTTTCTTTCCTTTAGGTACACGTATCCAATAAACTTACTTGGCCTTTTCTGTGGATTTTTCCTCTGACTCCTCAGGTGTGGAAGAGTCTAGCGCTGTTATCTTCCCAAAAGACTCTTTTGCATCGCCAAAGAAGTCTTTCACTTTATCAAGCACTGTTTTAAGCTGGTCTTGTGTTGGAAGCTGAATTGGATTTGGAACATATTAGGAGTAGTAAAAAGGGAAATCTTTGTAATTGAAATCTGAAAGGAAAATAGAAAGAAGAAAAGAACGAGTGGAACACAGCTGCATAAAAAGTTCTAATATAAACTCAGTCTATACTGCCAGCTAAAATCTAGACATTATCCAAAGAATCTAGCACCCCAACTAACTAAGAGTTAAGCCAACCACATGGAGTCTCATTAAATTACAAACTAATATAGAGTTTGAAAAGTTAAATGCTAGAATAAAAAAAGTGTATTCTCACCTCAATAACATTGTTGGTAGCGAGCGCAGCTCTCACATTACCATTTTCCTGCACATTTAGCACACACAATTTAGATAATGAAGCAGCGAATTTTTTCATCAACTAGGGGCACAAAAGAAATAGTTTTGATGATAATAAGTTGGGAAAACCAACTCTGAACCAAATTTTATAAAATATAGGATGAAGCAATAGGAACTTTACAACAAGTTTGTAGCCATATCTGAACTCAGTTGCAGATCGCAACACACGGAATTGTTTAAATGCTGTCTTTTGTATCTCCTTCTCATCCTATTTGAAAAAGACCCCATTAGTCAGCAAAACTTGAGAACAGGTTGAAAATAATGCAAAGTCATTAAATATGAACAAGTCAAAATCCAAAAGTTATCTGGTAAGTAAAATGAAACATTAATACGCTATCTGATGGTGCTAAAACTGGCAGGAATTCTATTAACATCAAAAAGAAAAGCTTCAAATCAGTAATAAAAAGAGTCATGAGAGTAACTCAGCTAAAAAACCAGAGTCAAACTAATGCCTTTTCTTACAGCATAGCCTAACATAAATAAAGGTCCAAAATTACAACTTGGAGGAGATTTCAAAATATGCAAGTATAGGTTCAATGAGTCCATGACAGAGTTTTGACAGTGCCATTCTTATGATAGGTCATCTTTCCTTATAGTGCAGAAAGTATTATGTCCTAATTTGTTACAATGGATATTATTAACGCAAATACAGATATAAAATCATTAAAAAAAAAATAAAAAAAAAGAATAGCAATGGTCTTGACAGCACTAAAGATCACATCATATTAATAACCTTCTTTGTTTCTATAAAGTATTGAAAAAGCAGAATAAATTTATTAGCCCCAAAATTGAAAGAAAACCAATAACAATAGAAATTATAAAATCAAAAGGACTGTATGGAAGGAAATTACTCTGGGCAAAACAAAAAATGATAACTCTCAATTCTTAGAAAGGTAATTAACTTATTGAGAGATGATGTCAGGGTAGAGAGAATATACTCTGTAAATAACTGCTGCGAGATTTCTAGCAAGCGTATCTTTGTAGATGTATTTTCCAAGGAAATTGTCCTTTGCTGCGACCATGATTTTGGCTGTGGTGCCACCTGTTACAAGACTAAGTGGATACCATAGATTAACCTGCACAGGTAATGAGACTTTAGTACTCAAAGAAAAATGTAGCTATCCTACAATTTCTTGTACATAATTCACAGTAAAAAATGCATAGCGTGCAAACGAATATCTATGGATTTCTTTTTCCGACAGAAGGATGGTTAGTGCCAAGGCATGACGTGGTTAGCAAGAGCTTAAGGACTAGTAAATGGCACAATCGCCACTACCGAGAGTATGGTTGGTAAATATTTAAAGAGAGAATTTTTTTCCCCCTTTCCATGTCTCCCCTCCTTGATATGGCTTTCAAAGAGAAAAATTGCAGCAATCACTACAGAAAAAAGTTTAAAAGTTCAAGGCTATCAGCTTAAGCCTATTTGGCCCAACTAAGGCTGCAATAAAAAGGAGCTGTTGTCAATAATAAAATAATTTGAAATACTATCTAGAAATTTCTATCCATCAAAAAGTTTCATTAATTTTATCTATCAACTCCTCATTGCAACTATGTTAAAAAACTCAAATTTGAAGTTTCCATGTTATGCTTTCAAATGCTCATTTACAACTCTTATAGAAGCAAAAAATTCTTTTAACCAGACTCCCATTTGCCTCAACTGTAGTTTTTCATTTTTATCTATTTTAGGTTGTCAATTTGCAAATACGCAAGAACCTAGTAACTCTAACAGAAGATTGGAAGAAAGGAAGCAAATGTAAGACTGAAAACTTCAAGTTATAAGCTTGAGTCTATTTGGCCTGACTAAAGCTGCAATAAAAGAGAGTTGTTGTCATATTGAAATTAATTGAAATACTATCTATAAGATTTTTCTGTCCATCAAAAAGTCTCGTTAATTGTATCTATCAACACCTTATTGCAACTTATATATAAACACTAGATATTAATAGGGAGAAAGAGAGACAAACATTGGCCATGCGGATGAAGATGACAAAGCGAGGGTTGCCATCGTCTTCGATCGTAGGCAAAGGAGGAGGTGGAGGCCTTCGAAACTGACGAGCTGCCATTCCTTTCTTCCCTTTGGCTTCTACCACCAGCATCCCTCGTCTCTGTTGCTGTCTCTTACTCTGCTGCTGCCACGTCGTGGTTCTGGAACTGAACAGCGAGTGCTTCACCAATCCACCGACTGCTTCGTGGTGGGTTCTTGAAGTACTCGATAGAGGTAGCCTCACCAGCGCATTTAGCGACATACCCACCTCCATTTTTTGACAAACAAAACTGTGTTTTCTATATATTTTTTTTTGTCTTTTTATTATCTTCTAAAAGTTTCTTTCCCTTTGCAACTGCTCGCTGCTATTTTCTGGAACTCGGGATGAGATTATTTGTGGAGTGGGTCTTATCCACGCTCTCAGAATTTCTGAGGAAAAAAGAGTAGGGGAGAGGTCTACAGAATATCCTCCAGACACGTGGCGTTTCACGTTCAACTGGTAGTACGAACTTTGGGGTCCCACAAATTAGAGTTCATCTCGAGACGGTGCGTTTTAGCCCTTTAACGCTTACACATGCTATGTTAAGTTCGACGCTCATTTTTGCGTCTTATTTAGATCACCGTGTAATGTCTCTGTTTGATCCCTGAACCAGTTCGTAATAGATTTACTTATGTTTTATACATTTTTTCTATTTTAAAATACAAAAGTTGTTTATTACTATTCATTATTTACTTGAGGCTACATTTGAATTATGACTATAGATGATAAAAAGATTTGTATACGATGGATTCTTATTTGTTTTGATCCGATAGGATTTTTTTTTTTTTTGAAAATAAAATTTAGCTTGAGCAGATTTTCATATAAAAGATATTCCAGACGAGTGAAATAGATTTAAAAATCTTTAGTTTTGTCCTGTGATATATATATATATATAAATATATTATTATTTATTTATACTATATTAATAAAATTATTATTTAATATATTAATTCAAGAGATTAATTAATAAAATATTATATTTATATATAATTAAAAATAATTTATATTAAAATAATATTTTTATAAATTTATACTAAATTAAAATAATTAAATTAATTTTAAATTAAAACAGTCAAATACAATTAAATAATATATATGGGTGTGTGAGTCGAATAATAATCAGTACAAAATATAATAATTTGATGTCAAAGTAAAATGAAATCTGATGAAACTATTAAAAAATTGGTCGGGTTATAGACGAGTATAATTATAATCGGTACCCGCCAGCCAGTTGCCATCCTAAGTATGACACTAATTTGATGTTTTCGTTAAAAGCAAACTCCAGAACAATAAATAAATGGGCTTTGTGTGCTTTTGATGGACGTTATTTCAGTAATTTTTTTTTTTTCAAACGGTGCATTAACTTGAACATTTTTTCAAAGCTTTTTTCCCCTTTTTTTGAAACTTAAACTAAAGTCCAAGACTCCGCGTAGTTTCCCTGAGTGAGTTTTCCTTTAGTACCCAAACAAACATCATTCCTAGTTCAAACACACAAACTAAGATGGCTGAAGTCCTTGAATTAAGGTCATTTCCAGCAAGAAGCCGCAATAATGGACTTTGATTTCCAGCCGAGAACCAAGCACCCTTTATCTTCCACAATTGTGTAACCCTCACAAGCCTTTACCTTTCCTAGCCACTGCTTGGCCTGCGTTATCATCTTGATAGGCACCGGTTGAAAACCTGCTCGGCTCATCCTCCTGCGCCATTGATCAACCCTTTCGTGCCTTTCGAATCTGGCTGGCCCTTCACAGCTTACAATGTTATTTATTTCTTCTGCGAAGTAGAATTGCTCCATTTTGGCACGTTTAGTGTCATACTTGGGCAGCATTGCGTCTAGTGAGTCAAATATAGCAGAGTAATAATGCAATGCCTCCATGAACCTGCCAAGAAAGAAAGGCCCGTTATGACTCGAGTCTTGCTCTACTAGAATCAGGAGCTTGGGAGACAATTTATGTAGCTTTTGGAGAACTGAGTTTAATGCTCCTCGGCTTTCTTTCACCACACAATGTAGTTGAAGAATGCTATTGATGACCAAGGCCTCTTCATCCGATGTCTTAACATCTTCAGGTTTCAGGTTTTCTAAATTGCTTTCCACGACTGAAAATTCAAAGTTCAATTTCAAGCTTTTGGCGTAGTGTTCTAGATCATCTCCAATTGCTTGGAGGCGTTCAGGGCAGGTTCCTACTCCGGTTATTCGAAGACGTTTAGGTGGCTGACCAGCACGGTGGACTAGGCTCTGCATTAAGTTGCGCCACTGGTGGCCACGAGCCAGACCAAGTGTCATACCCAAATCCACCACGTGAACAAAACTCTCTCCCTCAAAGGCTTCTAATATCGATTCATTCGCTACAAAATGACCGAATTGGATTTGCGGACATAATTCATATACAAGGCTTAAGGCCTCATCTTTTTCGATTGTAACAGTCCTTGCTTTTGCTACCGGTCCTACTACTCCAACCGCCCCTAGTGGTTGAAGCAAAGCGAGACGGTCAGCAAGTCCCTGGACAAAGCAAGAAGCAACTCGCTGGAATGAAGTTCCAAGGACAAGGGCATTGGCCCTAAGCTCTGATAGTAATGCTGAAGCATGCATTTTGTCACGGCAAGCCACTGCCTCAGCACAAGCAGTGAGTTGCTCAACAAGTTTCATCCCTTCTCCACCCTCTTCTTCCTTGCTTTCATTTTCCTCACCTCCCAACATTGCAACAGCTGCTTCTTCCATAGCCTCGATTGCTAAATATCTCTGCATGTAAGTCCAAACATGATCCCGGAATAGGAGTCTTGGCAAGCTAGTAGTACTACAATTGGAGTTACCATTGCTGCCAAGGGATTCATCCATAGGGTGTTCCAGCTTTGACCTTTTATGGTTTCTGGTTTCATAAAAAATTTGCCTAAATTTCCGGTCAATTGGACACTTAAGGGAATAATTTTGCACGCCTGGTAAATTGAGATCAAGACTCATCGCTTCATTGCTTTTATCATCACCGTAGAGTTGAGGTCGCCATTGGGGACCAGGCGCCATAGCACTGATCCTCTGAAGAACTATCTGCTTGCAATGGCTATTTATGTGTGCTTCCTTGTTGAGCGAATATTTCGAGGTCATACATTTAATCCAAAACCTAAACAAAGTACACAAGAAAATGAGTTTTAAATGTTGTATTTCTTTCGTTAGGCATAGAGCAATGGAATATTTCCTCCCTGTCATTTTCGAGGAATCCCTGGTATTTAGGAGTTTACATCTTGTCTTTCTTGTGTGTCAATTTTGTACAGCTTAGAAGTTGTTTCCCTACATGACCGTCAGTTTATAGATATGCCTTTATACTCTCAAACAACCTTGGAACTTCATTTAAATGTCGTTTCCTTTCATCAGGACTTTGGCACTCAGCCTCAGATGCAGATGCAAATGCAAAGGTAGGGTGTTTATGACACTCTCATAAATTGAAAAAAAAAGAAAATTTAAAGGAAAATTTCCCTCTTGATATCCCTAAAAATTTTTTTACGTGCGTCTCAAAATTTTCCCCGAACATAATTTTTCTTATTTCCCTAATCATTCCCCTCCCAGCCATTACCCAATACTCAGCCACAACACACGGTCAGCCAACACCCAACACTCAGTAGATTCCCACTGTAATAAATAGATACCCACGAAAAAAGAATCCCCATGGCTCAGCCTGCCTACGTTGCTTAACAATGTTCAACCAAATCCCGGGGCTGCAGAACCACAAATCAAACAAATAAATTGTCTTCGTCCTTAATTTATCTAAAGTTATTTTTGTTTCGCTTCGGCGCTTGTCACAATAATCGTCAACAACTAGATTGAACTACTTATGTTGGGAGTAGGCAATGATAGGGACTGGGACGCGGTTGCCAACTTACTATGATTTCTCTATAATCTGTTGCTATCCTTGTTTCCAAGATTTGCTAAAACACAAATTTCTGCCGTTCTGTGAAACTGCGGCATTTTGTTAACATAAAGTATATTACTTTACCCTAAGTGTTCGGCTTTTATTACTTATGCTTCTACAATGGAGTTCCAAGAAATAAAGCTGCAGAGTATATTCCCTTTAATGCATTAAGAAAAATCCACCGAGCAAGATGGTGTAAATACGTGCCTGGCAGGGCATCAACAAGATCGCCAAATACATGCTTAGCGCCGGCTGATTAATTTATTCATTTTCATTGTTACAGGATCAAGTGACAGTTTTAGGCTAGGACAGAAAGAGTTGAGTAAGAGCATTTTGTAAATGTTGATGGGGGCAATTTTAAAACTAAAAACCACAAAGAAAAGGAATAACAATGCATCTCATTCAGTTTATTCTTTTCATAGTATAAGACATCTCAATATTGAGGTAAAGAATATGAACAAATGAATATTCCGAGTGAACTATAAAGGAAGAAATTGCATCTGAAATCCAATGGGATTAGACATTGGAAATAAATGAATCTGCAGAAGTAACTTGAAACTCTATTCCTCATTATGCAAAATTGCTGACCCTTTTTGTTGTGGTACTGATTTTACACCCTCTACTCGTTTCTCTTCCTTTTTGATGGATTCAGTAAGAAAACTCATGGCCTCTGAGTGATATATATTTCTTGACCCATATTGCAATATCTTCAGCAGAGGCTTGTGCTTGTGGTCAAGGATTTAAATTGTGATCGCGAATACGTTTTTTATTATGTCATTTTTATCATGATTATAGATACAAAGAGATAATTGCAATTATCATGGTTGTAAATTTTTTTAATTTTTGTACAATTTATTTTAAAATATAATAATTATAATTATAATAAAAAAATTATTACTTTATAATTTTTAAAATAATTTATGATTCTTAATTTTTTATTTATAAATTAAAATATATATATATATTTTTTCATATTTTATAGTTATAATTCAGAATTAAATTACATATTATAAATGCTTTTCATTATAATACCCATTAAATTCATGGACATAAATGTTATAAATAAATATGATAAAAAAAAGCTTATATGAAGTTAATTAAGATTATAATTAATTTAATTAGAAAAATAATGATGAATATTTTAGATATTTTTATAATATATGTTTATTGGGGGAAGATAATTAAAACTAACTCTTTGACCATAGATACATATACTTGATTGTTAGATCAAATTTTCAAACGTAACATATTAAATAACTAATTAACCAAAATAATATATTAGTGACAAACTAGTCTTTATTAACTAAAAAAATATACAATTAACAATAACATTAATAGTATTGAACTACTGTGATTTTAAGTTAAAAAAAAAAAAAAAAAAAACTGTGATTAGTTGGGCTGAACTCGAACCAACCAATACTTTCCCACGTCCCTACATTCTTCAAAATTCACGATTTAACCTCTATGACTGTACCTCTTTCCGTCTCTTTCTGCAAAAATCCACAGCATCTCACATGCTTCCTCTGTCTCCTAACCTCTTCCAATTTCCAGCCACGCTATCTCTGTCTTCTTCCTCAACCCAAGCCACCACCACACTACTAGTGAACCCAAGCCCCTTATCTTTCCATCTTGGCGGTTAAAGGATGTTTTTCTTCTTCTCAACTCTCATGGTCTGCGGTGGTCATTGATTAATTTCAATAGCATTTTCTTTGATCTTGATTTAGGTTTATAGTTGCTGATTGAGTTATACAGTTAAGGGTTTTTCTTGTTTCGAATGCGTTTTCTTCGTATGAAATTCTGTGACCATTGAAAAAAGGAATAGGTTTTCAAATTACATTTTGGGTTGAAAACGGTGATTGCCGCTGTAGCGTCCCGCTATAGCCACTATTGTCTGTTACACTGTTATTTTGCGGCCGTGAGCCGCGATTATGAGCGTGAATTCCTTTCACACCCCAATTTCGGGTCAAAATAGCGGCCTCAATACCGCTACACAACCACTATTTGAAACCCTAAATGCGGTGTCTGGAGGAGCACATCCAGAGTCTCAAACTCATGCACAGCGTCCTTGTATTCGAGAAGGGGAGCATTTATGTTAACCTTCCGAAGTTCCTCAGAGTAAGCAATGGCCGGATCCCTCATCCATTCTTGCTCTGCCACAACCGTCAGTTTTGGGGGCAGGAAATTTAGAGGAGGCTCTCTCACAGGGATTAGAGGGTTGGCAGCTGGATGATCTAGGTTGAAATTTCCTCAGGCAGAAAAAGTTTCCATGCCAGCATGCACATAGGCTTGTAGAAATAGGAGTTTGCCAGTTTAATTTCAGAATCTGTGGGATTGCTTCCTATGAAAAATGGATACATCAGGACTTGCGCCACCACCTTAACAGGATCCAAAAGCTTCCCAGCCTCAACAGCCATTCGAGCCACATGGTCTGCTATGTTTGCACCACAGCTTACGCCAAGAAGTACGCAACTGCTCTGGTGACACGACCAAGTCAGTCAATTACTACCTCATAAAACAACAAACAAGAGAAAAAGGTGAAAGAAAATTATTACTAGAAGCAAGAAAAATGGAAGTGAACAAGAACATTTAGTAATCATGTTTACAAGCAAACTTGATTACGTAGACAGCATGATTATACTGACAAACAAGGCAAACAAGTTCTCTACAAAACCCTTTTAGAAAGGACTATACGAAGTTATTGATTCTCAGAGAAAGTTTACTTTTGAAAGAGTTACAATCAAGGGACATAACTCCATCTTCCGATTATTAGAGAAAGTTCATCTGTCCTAAAAAATCTAATAAACGGTTCATTTCCTTCAAAGAGTGATTTATTTTGTTTTTATTTAGTAATCTTAAACATGTTGATAGCTACAGCTGTTGAACTACATTTTAATATTTTTTGTCAGAATATAGGAATTTAGTCCTAAATAAGAGTGGATTTAATCCACATACATTATTTGTGCATTACAGTTTTAGAGCAAGAGGACCAAAATGGGAACATCTTTCAGAATGTTTTTAGCTATATACTAGACATTGCTGTCAAGAATGGGCATTTCCAGAAAATTAGCGGATCCGACGATGAAATTTTTGTAATTCCAGGCCTTCATCCCACCCGATCCCCCAGATTCGAACTATCTACTCCTCTAAATCTATGCTCATTCTTTGAAACCTGCGCCTGACATTGTTATCTTCATTTATGCACTTACATTAGCCCAGATGAAATGAAATGATGCCCCTGTATCCAAAACAGAGTATGGGTCTTGCGGTTGCGGGAAACAAGAATTCGATGTATCTTCTGTTTGATATGGAATTTTCTACAAAATTGGCTTATTGTTACTCTTGATTGTAACTTTTCAAACCATACGGAATTCAAAAGAAGCAGAATGAACAGGAAAATACTTCATTAATCTGACAAATTTCCAAATCACTAGAATGAATGGAAGCTGAATCAAATTGATTAAAAACTGAAAACATACCTAGAGGGATCTCCGTGAGCAGCCAACCAAGGCTCAACCATAGACGCACCAAACCCATAAAAAACATGAGCATCCCATTCCCCATCCACCTCCCACACTTTGCCAAATTCGCCCGCTTCCTTAACCAATTCAATACCTTCAAACCATCCTCAAACGCCGCCGGATACCTGCTCTCCGGTGCCAGCCTGTAGCCAACCGCAACCACGATCACATCACAGAGCTTCGCAATCCTCCTACAAAACACGTCATTCCCTACACTATCATTACTTCCACCGACAAAAGCTCCGCCATGAAACTGTAACATCTCCGGTAATTTCTTTTGTTTTTTCCCTGTCTGAGGAGAGTAACCTCTGTAAACAAAAGTAAGATCTTTGCTTTTGCTTTCGTTTGTTTTCATGTCAGAGAGTAGGAACTGAAATTTACTTATTGTTGTCTTAAAATAGACCTGCTCCACCTCTTCCAGAATTGTATCTATCAGAAGAAATGGTAAATGAAGTGGGAGCTTTCATCCGAGCCCATGTAAATGATTTGCTCTCAATTTCTCAAGATATTGCATTGGGTAAAGATGCAAGGTTGTTCTTAAAGGTTGCTATATACTTGTTGCTGATTTCTATTGTTGGTGGCTTGACTGATTTCCTTACTTTGGGTTACACCAGTAAGTTTCAATTCCAGTTTGTTATTATTATTACTATCATCATCATCATTCACAACTTGGGGGGGAGATAGATTTTAAGACCACCTTTTGTCGGACTACTTACCAGTCTCAATAGTTCTATTTCTTGATAAGTAAAGAAGAATTTCATGTCACATGCGTTGTTTCTCCTAGTGTTTATAATTCTAGAGATGTTTTGAGTATATAAATCTCAGATTCAAGTGCCATAACTGTTTATCCACTCTCCTTCTGGCAGGCCTTGCTGTTATTCTCACAGTTCCATCACTCTACGAGAGATACAAAGACTATATTGATTCATATGTCATAAATGGGTGCGGGAAAATGCAGCAGTTGTACGTGGAATTTGATTCCAAGTTTGTGAACAGAATCCGGAAATGGATTTTGGAGAAGCAGAAGTTAAGCTGATTTCCTTTGTTTCTTCTTCAGTTTTCTTCTTCTTTCTGTTTGAGAGTGCCATCGTTTCTTGTTGAGCATTAGGGATGTGGAGAAATGCATTTCCTCTCTGATTTATTGTTTCTGGTGTGTGAGTTCATTAGGTTTTAACCAGAGAGATCTTATGGAAGTTACCACTCGATGAAATTTTTTTTAGTGAAATGAATGGTTGAGGAACATTTAAACAAGGAAATATAGTTTTTACTTTTAGAAGACATGTTATCAAAATGTAATTCCAAATCGGGATCAAATTTTTATTAACTTCAAATCTTGGTGTAAATATTGAAGCTATGAACCATAATTTTTTCTTTTGAGTTTTCATTGATGGTATACTAGTTAATGTAGGCAGGTTGGCCTTTCATGATATTCCTTTACTCTTGCAATGGCTCAAAACTTGAGGAATAATCTAATTCGAACCAAACGAAAGGCAGTGAAGAAAAGGATATATGTTTCTATTAATAGTTGAGTATTACATAGAAAATTTCATTGAAAAACCTAAAGGCTATCATAAATTTGCAAACTAAATCTAAATGATATAACAGGGAGTAGAATACTCTTAAGAAATTAAGATATTGACAGCCCATTACAAAGCTTAATCAAAGACCCAAAAGAAAAGATCACGTTTTAACAGCAAAAGAAACCAGCAACTTATAGTCCTGGCTACGTGCAAAGCCATCACGGTAGAAATGGAGCTGGGGGTTTGAACCGGAAGAAATGGCAGGCCTTGAAGGACCTAGAACAATGGAACCTGAACCTGTAGGTTGTTTAGCACTCTGAACCTCTAATTCTTTACCATCTTCCCTCTCTGCAGTAGGCTGTAAAAGGTCAGCTTGGCTCTCATGGGTATGAGATTCAAATTCGGTCTTCTTGAAAAACGACTTAATACAGTGAGGGGCTGCACAGATGAAAATCCCCTCCATTATCTTGATTGTCTGAATCTTCTATATACGTTCATCACACCTAGGCAAAAAATAAGAAACAATAATTTTTGTCAATGTCAAGTTACTTATGTTTAAACTAAATAAAAATTAGTTAATGAATCAGGTAGAATCTGACTTTTCCACAAGAAAACAAACAAACACCAGTGTCAAGGAAAAAAGACATGAAATTTCCACATCTTAATGATCTTGCTCCTAATAAAACCTCCCTAATTTGCTAAAAACAATCATTTACTATCCATTATTGTTACTTCCTACTCATATTTAAAAAAATACATTATAATTTATTGTTTTTTTAAATATTTACAAAATTTAAAACCAACAATTACGTTCACATATTCAAAACTCATATTCAAAATTCATTGCACATTTGTTGTGTTGTCAAAACTTTAAATTCAATTAATAAAAAAAAATAAAATGCTGTGTACTTACCTTATAGTTGTTACAATAAAAAATTCGATGGCCTGGGTTAGTGTTAATCCATGATGTCCTAATTCAAGCTTATTGACCATAATGACAAACAGATAACAAGCCTTTATCTTTCATATGGCAACCCATAGCTTTTCTTTTCCAACCCTTAGCTTCTCCTTTCAACTCTCAATTTTTCATTTTCAACCCTTAACTTCTATCTTTCATACTCTCTTTCTTTTCCTTTTCAACACCCAAGAAATTACAATAGTCTCTTACAAGCCTATATCTTCTATATGGTGACCTGTAGCTCATTCCTTTCAACCCTCGGCTTTTCCCTTTCTCTTCAACAAGTAAAACATTGACAAGATCCCATAAGTTTCCTTTTTTTTTTTTTTTTCAAGATGGTTAACTTTTTTTAGTGGACATTAAAGTTTCTTTTGTTTTTTATTATTTATTGAGTTCGCATTTAAAAAATTTCACGTAATACAACTCGTTCAGATTATATGTCATACCATGTAGGATTTACCATTAATTTAGATAGTTGACCAGATGGAAGGATCACATTGACACAAGTTTGGACAATTGAGGAATTAATTAGAACTTTTTAAAGTTTAGGGACCAAATAAAATTTGGCCCATAGTTTAAGGACTATGCGTGCTATTAACTCATACAAAAACTTAAAAAGACTAGTCAAAGCTGGGTCAACGGTTCAGTGATGGTCCAATCCGATTCAAATGATTCAGGCCAATTTCAATGCTAAAAAAAGGTTGATAATTTAGCATTTAGTCAATTTAATTAGACTACTCCATAGCTTGGCCACCAGTAGTCGACTCAAGTTGAGCACATGGACTTAAGATCCAGGTCAAGTCCATACATGGACCCTTAGGTAGGTTTTTTTTTTTTTTTTTAATTATAAAACATAAAGATTTTTTTTATTTCATTTCTCTCTCATTTCTAAAAAAAAACTCTAAAACTTTTTAAAGAAAAAACAAAGGTCGACTACCTTCCTAGAATCCAGTTAATGGCCGTCGCGTCAACCGTTATCCACTGTCACCAACCACCACTTGGTGGTGCCACTTGAAGCCCAAAATCTCCAAAATGACCTTCCCCACTTTTCATCATTATTCTGACCTCTATTTAGTCTAAGTCAAAAAAATTACGTCTTTCACTTTTTGAAACACCATCTTTTGCCATGCCGTTCGCTACCTGTTTCTTTTATCTTTCTCCTTTTTTCTTGCTCATCTTTCCTACCAAAATTTGAACCTCAAATCTCTTTCAAAGACCCTAAATTGAAATCTATGAAAGATTTGTTTTCTTTATTTTTCCTTTTTTTGTCACTTTTTGTGTTTTTTTTTTATGGTTTTTGATTATATTTTGTAGCTTCTTTTAAAAAGAATGTGGTTTCATTTTTATGTGTGTTCTTATTTGGGTGGGTTTTAGGTTTGGCTTGGGATGTTGACAGAAAAAGTGGTTTATGATGGGTGGTTTTAGGTTCTATTATGGGTCGATGGTAGTGGTATAGGGATGGATTTTTGGTGGTTTGTAGGAGTGTGGTAATGGAATTTTCTTAGTAGAGTGTTTCTTGGCAATGTTGGAACAATGAAGGCACTGGTGAAGGCGTGAAACTTTTTAGGCAAAGTTCCTTTATTGTAAAAAAATGTCCTTTTCTGTGTTAAAGTTTATTGGTTTTAAAAGGGATTTTAAGAACATAGGGAAAACTAACAAAACATGTAAAAGTCTTGTGGGTAAGATGGGGCTTTATTGGCAGCTAAATTTCAACTGCCAAAGGTGATGATAAGGTGGCTCTGCAGAGGTAGAAATGGTTGGTGTAGAGTTAAAGAGGGTTGGTAGGGGATAATGAGTGCTAGTGATGTGTTAGGGCATTTTTGGTTTCTATTTCTTTTTTTTTTTTAATTTTCAAATTTTTTAAAAAATAATTAAATCTTGGGCTTAAAAACTTTAGGCTTCACAAATGGGTTTTGGGCTTTAACAATGAGCTTGGATCATCTTTCAATTTTGGGCATTCAAACAGTTGCATTTAATTAAGATTTCAAAGCCCGGTTAAGAAAATTAGTCTTAATTAACAATTTAGACCTAATTGATAGATTGAACTAATTCATAAAAATAACCTAGTTAAAATTAAGTATCTACAGTTATTCTTTTTTTCGCATTGTTAAGAATCAAGAATAGGGTAAAAACATAAACAATAATTTTGTTTAGGCCCATTGACCTAAACATTTCTTGTTTTTTCAATTTCTTTCTTTTTTTGTTTGTTTTTGATCATTTTAGTTTTTGTTTTTCTTTTGAAGCCAACATAATAAACTTAAAGGTTAAACTGGAAGCTTTTCTCACAACAGTTTCATAATAAATTAAAATAAAAACTCCTCTCATCAGAAACTCTACAACTTTAAAAATAATTGAAACAAAAACTACTCTTACTAGAAGCTTTACAACTTTAAAAATAAATTTAAATGATTCAAAGATTTATATGAAAGTCTTACAAATCGTATCCAAAGGTCTTAAGAATTATGCCCAAAAGTTTTACAAATCTTAATACTGAAAGAGACTCTGTTAAAAGAACTTACTAATCTTACTCAGAAGACTTAGAGACTATGCCCAGTGATTTTAGAAATCTCGACACTAAAACAAATTTAGCTTGAAAAAGTTACAAATCTTACTTGAAAGATTACGACATTATGCTCGAAGGTCTTATAAATCTTAACACCCAAGAATGCTACTCTTATTAGAGGCTCCACAACTATTAAAATTTAAACTATTCTACCTAAAGAGCTTACAAATCTTTTCATCTTTACTTGAAGGTCTAAAGATTATGTACACAGAACTTACAAATCATTCTCATATTTACCTAGAGGTCTTACAAATCTCGAAATTGATATAGATTTTGCTCGAAAGACTTATTAATCTTGCCTAAAAAACTTAGAGACTATGCTCAGAAGTTTTACAAATCTTAACACTAACGAATGCTCTTCTAAATAGAGGTCAAGAAATTTTAAAAATCTCTTCTAGAAAAGGCTCCTCTAATCAAAGGTATTGAAACTTTAGGAATCTCATTTAAAAAAAATTTCTCTAATTAAAGGCTTTAAAACTTTAAAAATCTCATTTAATTAGAGGCATTGAAATGTTAGAAATATCATTAAAAAAAGTTCCTCTAATAAGAGGCATTAAAACCTTAAAGTTCTTATTTAGGAAACTCAGAGATTCTTATATGAAAAAATAAGAATTCATTCAAAAATTCACATTTAAAGTGCTCATCTTAGTTCATGATTTGAGATTCATATCAAAGGATTCTCAAGATTCATTTTGAGATTTAAGATTCATACCAGAAGGTTTTCGAGATTTGCATCAAAGATTCAAAATTCACATTAAAAGGTTCTTGAGATTTGCATCGAAAGTGGCATCATAAGTTTTTTAGATTCGCATTGAAGGCTCACATAGGTCTATAAATGATTTTGAATGAATTCAAAGGTTCACAAAAGAAAAGCCAAAATCTAAAAATGATATAACTTTAATTGAACCGAAGTTTGAAAATGAAATGATCGAAACTGAACTATTGTTAATAATGAAGTGATCAAAATTGAATCACAAGTAAAAAATAAATGGACCTGAATTAAACTGAAGCTAAAAACCAAGGTCTTGAAGTCTTATGAACCTTGTTCAAAATTTTACAAATCTTGCTATTTGTTTAAAATGTCTATCTAAATGTAGACAAACGATTTTGGAATTAAAATTTTTGTTGAAATTTTTTCCTTGGCCAAAACTTAAAATCTTATTTCTAAAAAATTTTACTTAACTAAGGATAGAAATCTCTTTTCC